AAGGAAAAAAGAACGGGTAAAAATCAAATGAAGCGGAAGATTTTCCAAGAAAAAAAATGAAAGTGATGACGAGGAAGGCAACTCTTGGAGTAATAACTGTATTATTTGTTCTGATGCATATTTCAAATCACAGCCCAGAGAAGAATGGATCGAGTGTATATCTACTCTGCAAGAACTGGGCTCATTCCAAATGCATTAAAAACATAGATACCATATCATACGTTTGCCCAAACTATGATTCCGATCAGTTGTGTGACGACTTATGATTTTGTTAGAAGGTTAATTAATTGTATTAGGTTTAAGGTTGTTAATGATAAGTACAAATCTCAATAGATAAGTGCAAACAGTTGAATGTAAGGCTAATTAGTAGATTATTGTTTTCGTACCAAAGATAATGTTTATGAGTCTTATATTATTTTAGCTTTCTTTTAAAAAAAAAAAAATTCTTATTGATCGGAACTTTAATAAATAAACATTATTAATAAAATTGTATCCTATTTCATTAGAAAATGAAATATTTCTTTAAAAGACAACTGCTATTTCTTAGGAACAATTTACCCCAATATGATAACAATTTACCCTACGAAGGGGTAAGAAGTTCCGCTTCGACCAGTTACAAATAAATCACTCCCTATGAAAAACCTGTTACAATATATTAAATATAAGCTTAAAATCCTAAAATACAATAAATTTAACAATAAATTAGTTAATAGTGAAGAGAATAACTGCATTATTTTCCTTCCCTACTCTACAAAAGAACTTAAAAAAAAAATCTTGCAATAATACCAGAAAAATGTAATCACGCGAACAAATGGAAGAATACTCGTATACTAGATACTGAATGGGTAATATTCGACGTGAAAAAACGGCAAACAATAACGGAGGCGACGAAACACGAAAAGTACCGTTGCGTTGGTCGTGGAACGCCTTGGTTTTGCACTGAAGGGATAAGGAATTCTACTCTGGCGAATATTCAACGCAAATCACGCTCACCGGGAGTATCGAGCTTGCACCTGGACCAGTTTTCTGCCGCTCTCTCTCTCTCTGTGTATATATATATACATATATATACATATATCTATCTATCTATCTATCTATCTCACCAACGTACGCGTTTGCATTTTTTTCATCAAAACGTTTTGGTCGACGGACGAGTATAGTTCCGTCGGTGAGACGGATGCATTTTAAATCTTGCCGTACGATATAAATTCAACACCGCCAATAGTATAAACTGTTTCTGGCAAAGCAAAGGCAGCACGATCTTCTCTTTCATTTACTCTTATTTCTCTAACCTATTAACTTCTGCCCATGCTTTAGATATGTATGTATATCACAATTGTGTATACGTGGAAGAAACGAAAACGAGGATGTCTTTTAAACGATTCGATTTCTATTTAAAAATGGACACAGGTTACTGTATGGGTATATATTATATTTTAGAACAATTCAATCGCTTTTCTAACTTCTTAGAGCGGCCATATTGATTAACGGATTTCTCTCAATTATACCCTACGAGGAAAAAGTGAACAAAATAAAGGCGATAGAAAATGATAGAAGATTGAAGTTTTTTGGCATAGCTAAAGTAAGAGTGAAATACGTTAGACGAGGGAGAGCAGAGGGAAGGCGTTCACGGTGTGAATGAACTCTCGTGGAGGGTCCTTGGGACGGGCGGGAGCGGCGGCAGCAACGATCGAAAACGTACCTGTAAATGTTACTGTGTCCCTGACTCCGGCAATTAGGCCAATGCCTTTGCGAATCGATGACCCGTCGAAAAATCGTTCTTATTTATTCACGCGACCCCACAGTCACTGTTAACCATTGACCACTCTCAGGTCCGGTACTATTTGATCCGTTAAACCGGCCGACAAGCCCGGCTAATTCGAATTTGTTCACTCCTTAACGCACGTAAATTTCAATCCAGACAAACTGTTCACACGAAGTCCACTTGAAACTTTAGAAAATTAAAAAAATTTTAAAAACCGGTGAAAATTGAACGACCATCGCTAATCATCGACTGCAAATCAAAGAGAAGGAAAGGGGGAGGGGGAGAAAGAGAGAGAGAGAGAGAGGGGGGGAGAAAGTGGGAGAGAGAGGTTTCATGTAGGTAGTTAGGGAAGATGGGGCGAATTTCTCGATCCCTACGCGGTTGATGAGAAGCTTTAGCTGTAGGGTACCCTTAGATATTCATGAAAATGGTGCACCCATGCGCCAACGAGATACAACCGTGCAAATTCAGATGACAGGTTGCTCCACCCTTCTCTCGCGAAATTACTTCTATTGCTCCTTCACCGTTTCTATTATTCCCCTGTTCTGATATATTCGAACTTTTCTAATTAATTATTTTATTTTAATTTTCTTATTAAAAAATTAAACGTGATGCTTCGTACAAGAGAAGAATCACAACTATCGTTGTTGTAAAGATTAATGCAACACAGGGAAGAAGATTCAGCTGTGCGTTATGAGGTAGACGGTCGGTGGCTGTTTGAACAGATACCGCGACAGATGTTCGCAGTTGACGCCCACGATTTCAACAGGTGTAAATCTGACGTGAACGCGAAATTTCGTAGTCGAGGTCGATCAAGAATCGTGTTCTTACGGGTCGTTCAACTACCATCCCCCTTTTACACTTCAAAGCCACGTGCATCGTTGCGCGATATCGTTTATTTACTTTAAACGATAACAATAATTCATATTTCACGCGCGTCCCCGTTCGTTTCGCTTATACAGTAAACCCTCCTATAACGCGGTACTCTCATAAAGCGGTTTCCATATAACGCGGTACGAATTAAACGCGTTATAGGAGGATTGACTCTATAACATGCAATACACTATCGAATACATCGGACGACAATAATCACAATACGAAAACAAGTACATCAAACTTGAAAATTCGTCCATGACGATTTACAGCGTCTGTTGGAAAAAATACGCGGGCCAGGTGAGGCTGGCATTGGCAAACACGATATTGTTCCTGCAAACATTTATGTGTCGTGAAACAGGTGTGAGTCGTATTCGATGTGGACGCGGCCAGTTGATGTGGCACGGCCGTGCGCCACGGATAACGGACAAATGCTTTGAAAATATTATTAGAGAAACGGAGACGAAATGAATGCATCCCCAATTGTCCATTTTTACGATTATTCTAAGATTATGATCACTAATCTATGGAATAATGATGTAATTATATACTAATCGCTAGTAAAATTATAAAGTTTGAAAAATAAAAAATTTATAGATAACTTAAAAAAACAGACAGGATTTCGCTAGTTTAAATTCCGTAAATGATACGATTCAAAATGTCGACTATAACAAACAGACGTATCGGTGGTATATTAAATAAAGTTTCTGCTGTGTTTTTCCGAGCCGACGTAACTACGAATCTCAATTTTCTGAAACAAATTTAAAAGTCAATTAACCGGAGTATCCCTCGATGCGTTCAAAGCGTGCGACGAATATTTGTAACTAGTTTCCCCGGTGCAATACGCGATTAATTTCTATCGATAAACGTAAGGAGTCACTAGTGGACATCGATCGATTTTCAACCCATTAACCGAATATAAATTTTCTCTTCGACTATTTCGTTCCATATTTTATTAAATCACTATTCATTTGAATAGAAAAAATTTCAAACGAACAAAGAAATTTAATTTTCAAACAAAATTTCATCGGATCTCTTGGTAAACGCTCACGCTCCCCCTTTCACTTTTCTTTCCTTTCAACTTTCTGACTTTCTTTCACTGTATTAATTACACATCATGTCTACAAACGCGTTACACACACATGCACACGCAACAAATAATAGGTTAAAATAACGAGCTGAAGCTGGACAGCAGCGTCGAGAATGCTTACCTGGTGTGTGTTTGTCGACGTAATACGAAATCCACGTTCGCGCTTGTTACTTTTTCTCGGTTCTGGCTATTAAGAAATCACAATGAGACCCGTAAACGTGGCTTGCTTCAAACGGTCCGTGAACGCGGCCAGAAAAAGGTACAAGAAAGTCGAGAGGCCTGTTCGGGAAGCAGCTGTTCGATAAAAAGGACGTTCAAATTCTATACGGGCAAGTATCACATGGTTTGCGTCCTATAACGCGTTTAATAATCAGTCTCGTAACCTTCGTTCGAGAAAATATCGTTACCTCGCGTAATATCCACTCATATGTCCCAGGAACTCAACGATAAAACACAAATAACAATAATTATAGTGATATGAGTCTACTAAGGTCGTAAAATGGTTGATAATCGCAAGATATATTTATTATGGAACTTCACTGCACCGTTGTAACACGAACCGCGAGTAAAGATTATACGAAAATTGCGTCTAACGGAGTCAATCAAATGTTCTTTCGTATAGATTCGACTCAGACGGTAAGTGTAGACGCGGTTTGTGATCGTAAAAATGCGAGAATCACGCGCAAGAAAACAAGCGGGTCGGTAAGGCATGGATGACGCTGTCACAGGTCAGACATTATCCTTCGTGGGCACTCGGTCGGTGCGTCCTCTAACTGTATCTCTTTCTCTCCCTATTAAGTTTATTTTTCTCGAAACTGCTTTGATACAATAAGATATCCTCAAAAGGACGCTTCGAGCGGATTAAGAATATTTATTTTTAGTTTAAATAATTAAACAATGATTCGATCGTGATTTCGATATAATCGCCTTTTGAAAAATGAGAATGCACACAGTTACATGATACACTGACGCAATCACGTATGCATATGTATAACGTAAGAACATCTTCGAAGTCAAAGCTGACCAATAAGCAACGCGACAAAAGTCGACTCTTTCTAGTAAAAATGTCGAAGTAATATCATTCCGTGTCCGGTTTGATTAACCTCGAACAATATCCAATCCGAGAATTATCATAAGCGACGTGGAGTAAAAAAGAAGCAGAAAAGGGTCGACAAGGTTTCACCAGGTGTCCACCGATCTAGCGTCGACGCCACTGTCGTATGCTCGAAAACGCGAAACACAGAGAAAAAATTGCGAAGGTCGTGCGCTCACCCTCGAGCAGGTGCCAGTCCTCATCCAGCGAGGCCAGGGCCTGTGCCTGATTCGCCTGTTGTTCAAAGTCGAGCATCTTGGCCCTCTGTTTCAGCCTGCCCTTTCCTTCTTTGTCCTTTGCCTGCTCAGGCTACGGTATTACTTCAGTTGGCACTGGAGAATATCTTGCGTGTCACTTGGTTCACCTCTCACGGTAACCGACCGCGTTACCACGACTACAAATGCAGTGTATCGTACCGACTTGATCGACCACGGTAACCAGCGACTACGACGATGGCGACAACAATAATAACAACGCTATTTTGTATCGTTGAGAACGTGGAGACCGCGCGGAATCCTCTGGCCGAGCGACAATTGAAAACTGGTATATCAAAGTCAGACTTTCCCCTCGAAGAAACGTTCGCTGGGATTATCTCCAACGTCCTTTCGTCACGAGAACAAGCGCGACGAAGGTAGAGGAGTATCGGA